ATTCAAAACCTAGTTGAAAATCTACAGCGATCGCCGAGCTATGGGGAGCCAAACCTAGCGTGACAACCTCGCAGATCCGGCGATTTACTGCGCACTATTTGGAAGGTTTTGAATTGATCAAAAAGCCTTGGGATTGTAGTGTTTTTCGGCGCGGTGAAGTTGGACGGCCAGCGAAGCGTTTTTGGTATTAGTCCGCGAGCAAGGGTGATGCGGTTTGTCGCCTGATGACCCAAATAGCTGCGTTCTATGTGGAATTTCTAGGGGTTCGCGTCACCGGATTTTGCGAAAAACTTATCGCAACAACCTATATTTTTTTTCTGTTTTTCAGAAACAGGAAGTAGTAAGCTATTTCAGCATATAAGCCGTTAGCCTGGGAAAATTCGTTTTTTCCAAGCAGGTCCGTTGAAAAAACTGCAAAAAAACTACATTTTTCGTATCCAAAATTTACGTTTAACTACAGTTTCTACCCAAATTATAGAGTCGACGGACAATAACCAAAATTGTATCGGAAGCCGGCTGGAAACCTCCGTTGACTGATGTAATGAGATTTCCCGGCCGGTTTTTCGGAGGAGCCATGTTCCTTTGCCGTGTTGCCTGCTGGGAAATGCCCTGGTCAGAATTAAACTCCGACCCGGAACCATAAGGGCAGACACCACATTTGCGTTGCGCAGTAGAGGCCTCAAAATGGGAACGATTGTAGTGCCTAGTTAATACCTTTGAAAACCTTTTTTTCTCTTGAAATTTTTGGTCCATTTTGGAGATTTTTGGGCTGGAAGGCACAGGTAGGGTCTAAACTTTCCTACATTGGTCAAGTTTTGTTTATTTCACCAGTTTAGTGGGCGTAGTGAGAGATGTGAGTGGTTAGGTCTTGTCTGGCCAGGCGGATGGATACCATGGAAAATGTAGGTCAAAGTTGAGGTTTTTTACTATCATCAGCTGTGGCGGGAATTTGAGGTGGTCAACCCCTGTTCCTTTCTATTTTGGAAATCAGACCCTTGTTGCTACCTGGTGCAGAAAAATTTTTGAGATTGGAGTATGGGCAAGTACTTTCATGAGGTGTTGAAATAGTGTATTTAAGCATGTGTTCCTATGGCAAGATCTAATAGTACTGTCTGCCCTTAATTTGCCGAAATTTCGATGTTTTTCCTTGGTATTTTGCACGATTCAAGCAAAGAAAACAAGTTGATCACATGAACAAAAGAGAAATACAGCACTGGGAACCTAATGGTCCGTTTTGTTGGGCGTTAATTTCTCATTTCGAGTGAAAATTTACGTGCATCACATTGTGACCATATGGTGTAAAATCTGATTTTCGGCTCGATCCGAACCAAGCACGGCCCGTAGACTTGTCCTTTATGATTTCTAGATGACTATCGGTAGCAAAATACGGGAAAATATTGTTGCAAAATGAGAGAGACGGAGACTAAGGTAAACTTCTTTTATTTGAAGGCTGGATTTTCATTTTCCTGGCAGGCTTCTTTGTATGTAGTGATCATCAGTTATTCAGTAACAACAAATATGGATTTTTGTTCCGGTCAAAAAACCGGTCCACCGACGTTTCGGTTTTTTGGACCGGACCGATAAAGTTTTACGGTCCGAACATATTTAAAAGATTGATATTTTGAAGAATTTCAGTAATGCTACAGATTTACAAAGCTATAACTATTACAGATAACATTAACGCAAAAATACCAGTTTACGTGCAGGACCAGTTTACGGTCAGTTGGTGACACGGCCACGCTTCGAGGTGTACCAGCCAAAAATCAACGGTCGTGAGCAACAAAGAATAACATGAATATGATCCTTATATGTGTCTTTTATTTATTCACTGGATGGGAATAAGTTTGCATTCAGCGACACAGCAGAGTATCTTCCGATATGACGGGACAGCAAGGTAACATGGCCTTGGACGAATGTTGTGTTTTTCACATAATACAATACTCAACATTTCGTCGATTTTTTAAAATCCCAAGAATGCTAGGAAATTGTAACGATAGCTGGCATCAAACCTGGCTTTCTTATTTCAATCATCCATGGTGTTGTGAGGTATGAAACTTTCAAA